ACTTATTAGTTATCATTAGTTAATTAATGAATTAATTTTATATAAACTTTTCATAAGCTAAATTTTTCAAGTGTTTTTTTATTGGAAAAAAAACAGATAACATAAAACATAAAAACAAATTAAGGTAAGAAAAAAGATAAAAAGTAACTAAAGAAAAACATTCATCGTGAAGGTCAATTGATTTTTCAACAGAAAAATTTACATCAAATGATCAATTGATAAGTAGTGGTGCCAATTTAAACCTCTCAACAGTTACTTTAAACAATTTCCAAACAATATTTCGATAGTAATTTTCAAAGCTCATGTAATCGTGATAATTAGCTTTCAATATTTATGCTTATGACTCTTTTGATCATTTCTCTCTTGATTACGGAAGAAGAGAGTATAGCATTCTTGACTATTATTTACTAACCTTTTACTTGAATGTTCGAGTTTTTGTTTGATCTACAGGGATTGAGTAAATAACTGGATATGATAATCAATTGGATTGTGGTCACGATCAAAGTCACACCATACAGCCCATTTAGAGCGCTCAATATATCATTCCTGTTCATATTGTGTAAATATGAACTCGTAAAAACTGATTATCTCAAAACTATCGACAAGAAAAGATGTGAAGATGATTCCGTTTATGACAAGCAAACCATTTTTCATTGTTTTTGTTATGAAAAAGATTTTTGTGAGGCTCATTTACTTAGTTTTTATCGAACGCTTTTACCATCGAAAAGATGTTGCGTTGTGATTCTCAGTTCGGAGACTGATGATCAACCATGCTCCAAATGTAGCAAGTGTATCGCTCAATTTTTCGATAATGACACTAATGAATTATTTTGTGCAAAATGCGCGAATAATAACAACTCTTCTAATATCGTACCAATTGAACTAGACAACAACAACAGCGATACAAACAACATCAGTAGCAATAAATGTCCACCCCCGGACCCACCATAATTTTTTTACATGCCACTTCCACTCCACTGTCATTTCTACTCACTGTCATTTCTACTCCACTGTCATTTCACCCCATGTCCAGAAATGTCCACCACTTCCACTCCACCCCATTCAAAAACGGCGCATACAAATTGGCTCAGAAATAACATTGTCATTTCTAATCCACCTCAACCCAGTAAAACTCATGCAGTAAATGTCTTAGAAATAACACTGTCATTTCTAATCCACCTCAAACCTGTTTTAATTCAATACATTTAAAATACATTACCATCTCCAAGACAAACAGGTTTTAATCAATTTAACTACTGTCACCTCTAGGACAAACCGGTTTTATCTTTGTTAGGAAGTCTAAACACCTCTAAACATCATTCAATGGTATAAATAAAGAAAACAAAATTAAAAAAACGTCACATCATTATTAGTATAGCGTGTTTTATATTGTTTGAATTAAAAATCTCGTGTTCAATTTAATCATATAAAATGGCCTTTTCCGTTATGACCTGGACCTCAACTAAATTATTCGTTCATGAGTACATTCATGTATCGGTAAGCTATGGATTTAAAGATGGAGAAAAGCTTCGTCGTTTGGATATTCGAACTTATAATGCTGCAGGATTACCAACTAAACTAGGTGTTTCCCTTTCTTCTGAGGAGATTACATTTTTATTGGAGTTCATAAAGCTGTTTCTTAAGAATGAAAGTCCATTGGAACGAAGTAGTCATTATGTAACTATCTCACTTGATTCTCGAGACGGTATAAGTATCCAACAATTTGATAGAAAGGTTATAATTACAACTGCCGTTATGAAAATTATACGTGACTTGGAAAAACTCATCTTGATGCTAGTTGGAACTGATGATCTACCATTAAATCAATTGATGGACGCTTATATAATATCAACCTATCTTGATGAAAAGATGATGAAACTTGGGGATTGGTCAACAGCTGATAACAAATTAACTTCAACTTATGATGGATTTTATCCTAAAGTATTTCTCACCAAGTTAGAACTTGTTACACCTCAAGAATTATTGGAGCGATCAGTTGATTTTGACGCATTAGTTAAATTCAAGAAAGATGACCCAGTTCTTTTCAACTCACTCACGCTTTTTCTTTACATAAATAAAGAAATTAATTAAGTATCAAATTGTATAAGAAACGATGATTGATTGATAATATAATAAAATTCTCTCACAAGATGCAAACCTATCGCGTTTATTTACATCATCCTTTCACAATGTTAGTCGCGGGTCCAACTGGATGTGGAAAAACAGAATGGTTACGAAAACTTATCGAATCAGCAAATAAAATGAGTTCTCCTCCACCAGAACGTATCACATATTTTTATGGCGAATACCAAGATGTATTCACATCAATGTCAAATGTTAATTTTATTCAAGGCTTACCAGAAAATATCATTGATAAGTTCGATGGAATAATACCAGAATGGATTATCATAGACGACTTAATGGCTGAGTCAACAAACTCAAAAGTTATAAGTGAATTATTTACTAAGGGATCCCATCATAGAAATTTATCTATTATCTTGATAATGCAGAACTTTTTCTGTAAAGGAAAAGAAAGTCGAAATATATCTTTAAATTCACAATACATAGTTTTATTCAAGAATCCAAGAGATCAATCAATAATAACTAATATAGCTAGACAAATGTTACCACGAAAAATGAACAAATTACAGGCTATATTCGAAGACGCAACAAAAAACCCATTCACATACTTATTCATTGATTTGAGACCGGAAACTCCAGTTGAAACTAGATTTATGACTAATGTTTTAAATGAAGAAGAATACATCACAACATACATTATATAAGAATTAAGGAAAATAACATGTTATCCAAATCTATAAAAATGAGCGTTAAAAAAGCAGTTGAATGCTACTCTTGTTTAAAGAAATTAGCTAAAGCTAAATCAGCGGGTGAAAACAAATTTTCATCAGTACCAAATAGTATTTACACAGTTATTTCTGATATCGCACGGAATATTCTGAAAGGAATTATACCAATTAACTTGAAGTGTAAAATAAGCTGAAACTATATAAGAATCAAGTACGTAAGCTAGGTAAAGCAACTAAAGTCAATGATCGTAAAAGATAGTCAACCAACACGGAGTTTTCTATCAGCCTTTTAGTTCCCGCTTAGTATTTTAGCTAAGGTCACCACCGATAATATTGGATAATAATGAATTCATTAACTCGTATGTATCTTGTTTCTGAAGATAAATACAAAAGAAATTGTATCAGACCCAGTAAAACTAAACAACTCTTCAACAAAAACTTACCGGTTGAAACAAAAGTTAAATTTCACAACGATAATTTAGCTAGAAAAATTGGAAGATCTGAACCATCTCCTGAAACTGTCAAAACCTTGATTGACGCAATAGCGAAAAAATTTACATCAGAAGAGACTCCTAATGAGAGATTAATTTCCAATAATAACAATAATGTTAGTAATATTTATGATGGTGAGGATGTTGCTGAAAATATTGAATATGATGAAAGTAATATTTTTGATTATACTGAAAATGAAGCGAATAATAGCAAAGTTGAGAGTGAGCCATCTCGAAATGAAAGTTTTTTCTCTAGACTAATCAACAGCGTTAAACCAGGTCCATCAACTCCTGTGGATAAATCAACCTCACTCAAAACGGTTCTACTTGGTATTCCTGGTCTTATTGATAAAAATGGACGTGTAAGGAAAGGTGCAGGATATATAAAAGGCAGTAATGTAAACGACATTGTTAAATACTTATCCTCAGAGGACATTGTTGGTAAGAAACCAAATGGAATGGATTATTTACTGAAATTTGTGTAATGGAAGACAGACCAATAAAAAATTATATTTTGAATAAGAAAATCAGAGCTGAAATGGAATCCACTTCACCATCAACATCACATGGATCAAGTAATATTGAAGGCGCATCATTGAGATCATGGCAATCATTAGTGAAATACTGAAAGATATTTATTATGATACAAGATCCACTGGTTCTTACGGTGGGATCAAACGGTTATACAATACCGCTAGGTTAAAAGACAGTAAAATCAAATATCGAGATGTTCAGTCTTGGCTTTCAGATGAAGATACATATAATTTATTTAGAACGGCAAAGAAAAATTTTGAGACTTCCAATTTTAGTGGATTATGTTGATGATGAACAGTAGCTGATTTACTTGATATGAGTTGGATTAAAATGAAAACAATAACTATCGTTATATTTTGGTCACTATTGACTGTCTCTCAGATATGCTTTTGGAATATTGTTAAAGAATAAAGATGCCTTATCAGTTATTGAAGCATTCAAACAGATCTTCAGTTCAGGTCATAAGCCCAAGAAAATCCAAACAGATCAAGGAAAGAGTTCCTTAATAAACAAGTATTAAATTTTTTTAAACAAAATGATATTAATCACTTTGTAGCAACGGATGGTTTAATTAAATGTGCGATTGTTGAGAGATTTAATCGAACATTACGATCCAGATTACATAGATATATGTTTGCTAAAAATACAAACAAATATTACGATGTACTTAGTGAAATAATAGATGGATATAACCTATCATATCATAGAACTATAAAGATGAGTCCAAACCAGGGCCGTAACAATGAAAGATTAGTAATCAAAAATATACTTGATGGTCAAAAAGTTCTTAGAACTAAACAAGTACCATATAAAGTTAATGACTTTGTCCGAATATCACGTGATAAAGGAATATTTGAAAAAGAGGCAACTGAAAGTTTTACAAAGGAGTTATTCAAGATTCGTAAAGTTAAGAAGACACCTCAAGGTTATATTTACAGATTGAATGATTGGTCGGGAGAGCCTATAACTTCTGTATTTTATCAAGATGAAATTTTCAAAGTGTCGGAACCAAGTACATATAAGATCGAGAAAATTTTAAAAACAAGATTGAGTGCTAATGGAAAACCTGAATACTTTGTTAAATGGTTAGGTTACCCTGCTAAATTCAATAGCTGGACTGAAGATGCCGGATGAATTTTGTATTGATTTAGTTTCAAACGCAAGCATGGATATTCATCCAGATAATACATTGTCCAAATTTACTAATAATTTATCATGTCCAATAAATCTTGAAGGAAAATGGAAAGTTGGAATACAAGAAATATTTTATCCAACAACATATGAAATCAATACTAAAACTGTGAAGTTCAGCCTTTTCTATGGTGGAACATATCGATTGGGAAAATTTGAGTTCACTTACTTTGAAAGTGATGACATCAACAAAATATTAAAATGTATAAATGATGTCTTCAAATCATCTGTTTCTGTAATAAATGCTGATTATCCACCTGATTCTTCTACAAAATGGTTCTATAGAGATAAAAGCAGGTTGGCATCGAGGTGATAAGATACTACCTTATTTTGTTGATTCGGAATTTTAGAAACGCTAGGATGGACATATGATGGTTACATGAAACATTGTGAAATATTGTTCAGAAAATCACGCATCAATACTCGCCAAAAACCCAAAACCGGAATAAAGTCTCATCTTCTTTCATTTATACAGATCTTATAAGTGAACACTTTGTAGGTGATCATTTCGCCAGACTGTTGAGAGTTCTTCCGCTGAATTTAGAGTCGAAAATGGCCAACATAACATTCATGAAACCTTTTATTATCCAGTTCGTATCAATAGAATTGATGAGATAAATGTGTTACTTTGTGATGAAAACGGCTCACAAATAAAATTTACGAATGGGAGAGTCTTTATTAGTTTACATTTTATAAAAGATATTGTATATAAAAGTAAAACTATTAATAAAAAAGATAAGAAACAAAAAAGATGAATCGAAAAGTTTACTGTGCGTGTGATAGTGATTTCACAAATTATTTTCTTAATCAATCCGGAAGTGGTTTCAATGATATTTCTGTTTATTCAGGTAATCCATACCAACGTGGTTATGGGTTAGGCTCAACATTGAAACGTTTCGGTATCAATCTTGAAATTTTAGGAAAACATTTATTAAAACAGGAATAAATGTTGGTTCAGATATTTTAGCTAATAAACTTTTCAAGTGCTAAGACTCAAGCTAAACATGGTTTGAAAACAGCAGCCAAAGAAGGTTTAGGTGAAATAGAAACTGATAGATCAATATGGAAATGGTATAAGAAAACGTAAATATACTACTTCCGCTAAAAATCAATAGCTAAAAATCAGAAAAGAAAAAATAGACATAGAGATATCTTTTCATAATGGAATATTTATGAATCTTCATTGCCATCTAGCAAGTCTGAGTTACAGATTTTCTCTATACCACCAACTCAAACAGTGATAGAATCAAGTTATGAAGTCGAATATCGACCTAACTCTAGTTTAGATTCATCGAAATGTTATGAAATTGTTGTTCCTTCGAGTGAAGATTTTACTGATATGGCTGCGTCAATGTTGAGTCTAACTATACGTGTACAAACTCAAAATGGTTCAAATATACCAGAAACTAGTAAAATAATGCCCGTTACTAACTTCGGTAATTCTTTATTCGAACAAATTGATCTATTTATTGGCTCAGTTAACACTATACAAGCTAATAATATGTATCATTACCAGTCATATATTGAAGACCTATTATTCAGACAACATAACCCATGTGACGCCGGTGGTGAAACGCATGAGACAGTGTTGAAAATGGTTCATTCGATCTTTATTTCGATTACATTTACCTATTTGTGAGCAAGATAAACTACTGATAAATAATATTCCACTAATTTTCGATTCACTAGAAGTTCAGACAGTTTCCACTGATCAAGTATGATAGTGTCGATAAAGATACTTATCAAATTAAGTTTGAAAGATTAGCACTACATATAAAACGTGTGAAGCTATTTGCTGAAGCCTCTAAAAGTATCATCTTAGCCCTTGAAAAGGGTCCTGCTAAATATTTTATTACACGTAATGACACACGAAACTTTTCAATACCGGCTGGTCAAATGATTGCATCAATTGATAATATGTATTCTGGAATATTACCACGAAGGATTTTTATGGGAATTACAAAAGAAACCGCTCATTCCGGAGATTTAAATGAAGATCCATTCTCATTCAATGATTTTGGTCTCAATTACATTGCATTGAATGTTGATGGAATGACAATACCAAGTATTCCATACACCTAATTTCAAAGATGGACTTTACATGAGAGTTTGTAAACCTATACCGATGTCTTGGCCAGGACGAGTACCACAATTACATGTTGACTGATGAATATAAGAAACATACAACATTGTTTGGATTCGATCTTTCTCCGGATGGATCTATAGGAGCAGAAAATGAACACTCTCTGATTAAAGAGGTACTATAAGATGTGATCTTAAATTCAATTCACAATTAAAAAGATCATTAAAAGTGGTCGTGTTTGCACAGTTTGATAATCTCATAACAATTGATAAGGATCGAATAATCTCGTTAGATTACTAATAAATATGTTAACTGTCATAAAATAATTGACATTTAGATAAAGAAATAGAATTAGTATTATCAATTGATTAACAACTTTAATTAATCTATAATCTTATGTATTAATTAGGAAAAATAAAGGGTTAATTATAGTTAATTTAGATTAATTTTACAAAGAAATAACTAATAGAATTAAGATCAAAAATTTAGATAATATAAAGAAAAATAAGTAAAAGATCAAGGAGTAAAGATTTGCATCTCTCTTTCTTTTTCTCTTTCTTTTCATTCTCTTTCTCTTCTTTCTCTCTCAGGTATAAATTAAAACCCAGAGAGAAAGAAGAATCATCCTCAGTCTCCTCTCAACCCTTCCAATGAAAGGAAGAATCTCAGTGTTGAGATTCACCTTTTTTCCAACTTTTCCTTCTCTCTATCAACTCAACTAAGGAAGGATCTCAGTGTCGAGATCTACCTTAGTTCCTTTCTCTATCTTCTCCTAAACCCTTTTCTCTCACCTCTCTTAAACAAAACCTCAAGTCAAATGTATTAAAAGTAAAATGATAATAAAGTTATTTAAATCAACTAAATCAACTAAATCAACTAAATCAACATTCAATTGTCCAAATCCCAATTCTCTAAATAAATATCACTACAAATGGAGCCCACGATGAGGAAGGGCTAGTGATGGTACTCTTTTCGTTTCGTTATAACTCATTTTTCAATAAAATTCTGTCTCAAATATTGGTAAGCTTTCGGTTAATTTCTACCAATCTCTAACTCCTAATAAAACTTCAATTGTTTCAATCCACTTTTTCAAATCATATGTCTCAGTGTCGAGACTGATTAATTCAACTTCCTCTCAATTTCCTTTTTTCATCATATGTCTCAGTGTTGAGACTCTGATTCCATTCCAATTATGTCGGACTCTGACTATCCTAATGTTTTTGTCAATTCTGTCAATTACCCAAATAACTTTCCCAACGTTCCTACAACAATCAATCCATTCAGTGGTGAAAATGATCAAGAAGACATTGTTGAATGGATTAGTAACTTTGAATTTAACGCGAAACTTTTAAATTGGGACGAAAACGATATGTTCAGATTCCTACCCTTTTATTTAACTCAGAGTGCCAAAAGATGGTACCAGTTTATTTCAGGACCCTTTGCTTCTTCAGAAAAACCTAATAACTATCAGAAACTTAAGACTAGACTTATTCAAAACTTATGTCCACCAGATTACAGAATTAAACTCTCCACTCGTTTAAGTAGCTTTAGACAACAGCCAGGCCAGCCTTCTTCCAATTTCATCTACGAACTGATAGATCTCTGTTTAAAAATAGATGACAAAATGCCCGAATCAATGATAATAGGAATGATTAGAGATAAACTTCTTCCTCAAATTCAGTACGGTATCGCAATTCAAAATCCACAAACAATCAATGATTATATTTCTGCTAGCAGAATAGCCGAAAGAGCTAGTAGCCAGGTTAACTTTACCAAATAACCAATTCAATCAACCTTCTCCGATTGATAAATCAAATATATTAGAAACAGTACATAAGCTACAGAAAACAATCAATCATTTAACAAATAAGATAAGCTATCTTTCAGAGCAAAACCCAAACTAACTCAATTACTGCAGAGACCAAAATCACACAGAAGAATATTGTCCGAAAAATTACAGATGGATTACAATCGTGTCTCTTATTTACAACCATTTATCCCAACACAAAACTTTGCTAATCTACAACCAATTCAACCAATTTTACCCAACACACACACTTAAATACTAACGACGCAAATCAAGACGAAAAATTGATTGGCAGCTCAAAACCCCACACAAGTTTCTCTAACCAAGAGCCCTTTAAAACTTATGTCGGTCCTATTACCTTAGAAGAAAACGATAATCCGAATTCACCTCCTGAAATAAATTTAATTTCACCTCAAAACACCATTCAATTAATCAAACATCCAATAAAGATTGATGAAAACAAAATTGAAGCAATAATAGATACTGGTTCTGGTGTATCAGTTTTGACTCTACCTTTAGCAAAAGAATTACAACTGCCAATTGAACCTTACAAAGGACCTGAATTATACGATGTTAACGAAAAACCAATCAAAATCATTGGCCAATCTCAAGCAAGCCTTAAAATTAACGATGGTCAATCAGCATTATCGATTGAAAACGACATCTTGATCATGGAAAACCTTAAATCTAATAAGTTCATCATTGGTAACGACATTCTTTCAAAAGCTAAAATCAGTATCGACTGTCAAACTAAGAAAATAAGAATCAACAACGAACCACCCAAGATAACAAAACCACCTCAAAGGAAACAATTGAATTTTAAACAGAATTTAACTAAACGTAAGAGAATTATCAACGAAAAACCAAACAAAAATCGTCTAACCCAAAGAGCGAGAAAACGTAAGAAAACAAAGAGACATCATGAAAAGAACCGATTTCGCAAAGTTTCTTCACCAGTCAATTGGGATTACGATCAAAAGAAGTCATTTTCCATTACCCTGAAAAACAAACTGACCCGATAGAGAAATATTCCAAATATCGATCAGTCTCATTGAAATCTAACGGTAAAAAAAATTGGACAACGGAACGAAAAGTTTAAACATCATCCCTTCGAATTTTTTAGTAGTGATTTAATTTAGAGATTCCCTTATAACCAAAATAACAAACAAAATTACCAAATAGCAATACAAAGTAATCAACGAGGATCCTTGACGTTCATCCGAGATCACTCAACCAAAATACTAAGCAAAACACAATTGATCATCGACGTTCATCCGATATCAATTCACTACAACCTTTCAATAATCTTAACTAATCAATAATTATTCAATCCAAAAACAAATCTAACCCCTTTTCGGTAAGAAAAGAAAGAAATTGAGAACAAGGGACTGTTCTCGATAGCGGTGGGGACGTGTCATAAAATAATTGACATTTAGATAAAGAAATAGAATTAGTATTATCAATTGATTAACAACTTTAATTAATCTATAATCTTATGTATTAATTAGGAAAAATAAAGGGTTAATTATAGTTAATTTAGATTAATTTTACAAAGAAATAACTAATAGAATTAAGATCAAAAATTTAGATAATATAAAGAAAAATAAGTAAAAGATCAAGGAGTAAAGATTTGCATCTCTCTTTCTTTTTCTCTTTCTTTTCATTCTCTTTCTCTTCTTTCTCTCTCAGGTATAAATTAAAACCCAGAGAGAAAGAAGAATCATCCTCAGTCTCCTCTCAACCCTTCCAATGAAAGGAAGAATCTCAGTGTTGAGATTCACCTTTTTCCAACTTTTCCTTCTCTCTATCAACTCAACTAAGGAAGGATCTCAGTGTCGAGATCTACCTTAGTTCCTTTCTCTATCTTCTCCTAAACCCTTTTCTCTCACCTCTCTTAAACAAAACCTCAAGTCAAATGTATTAAAAGTAAAATGATAATAAAGTTATTTAAATCAACTAAATCAACTAAATCAACTAAATCAACATTCAATTGTCCAAATCCCAATTCTCTAAATAAATATCACTACATTAACAACTATAATGATAAATGACATTTGTTGTAAACTAAGTTGGTTTAAAGGGGTCTATTCGATTGATAAGTTACCTTTAGCAATTACAAAACCTGTTGGGATTGTTGTCAATTTGGATGAAAGTCACAAGCCAGGAAGTCACTGAGTAGCAGTGTATATTGATGAAAAAAACATCGGTCATTATTTCGATTCATTTGGAAGAGCCCCTAAAGGAAATCTGTTGACATTCTTGGAGAAAAACTCTAAGTACGTTTATATGAATACAAACAAGTTTCAAGGAAATAGCTCGATAGCATGTGGCTGGTTTTGTATTTTATTCATGTTTAATGCAAACAAATTATCAAGTTTTATAAAATTTTCAGCAAATGTAATCATGTCAAAAATGAAAAAATTGTTTATGAAAAAATAAAAAGTTTAATTTGAAATTCTGTAGTGTCCATATGCATATGATTTGGTATTATCTATCAAGTATCGTTTATCTTCAAATGGTGTTATACAGATTTTCTTTTGTTTAATCATTTGAATATTGTGTTCACGAGAGTTGATTCTAATGAAGCTATGACAGTGTATCAGACTTGAGTAGAGTGAGTTTGTATATGCGTCGAAATCTATTTTATGAGACAAAACTGAACGAGGAACACCTTTAGCTTTCTTCGTAATACTGTTACTGGTTTTTAAGGCATAAAGCTTCGGACGTAATCCAACAAATTCAGTTATAGGATCAGCTGGACATTCATCTTTGAGATACCCGATTTTTTTCTTATTAATAGAAGAATACAGTCTATGATCAGTGGGGTAGTTAGAAAAGTCCATTATCGATGCGAACCCTTGAGATCGTCAACTAAATCTTGTGTTTTGATGTGATAAATAAGACTATCGGTATCCGTGTAAATGAGTTCGATATTTGGTCCATAATGCTGCTTGAAAGTTTCATAGTGGAGCTGATACATTTTAGCTTTGCTAATTCCAAAACCGTGAAACCAACAGCAATAGGTTTATCCATCTTTACTTTTAGTTTTTCATCTCAAAATGACTTTATCATCCTCCAGTATCAAAATCTTTGTGAATGATTTTTCTCAATGCTCTAGCTGCGTGAATATCATTCAGAGCTAGTTCAACATTGATATGTTTCCTCTTGTCTTCGATGGTTTTTCCATAAAGA